CCGCCAGTAGGTGGCAGCAAGTCACTGTTAATAAGTGAGTCATTGCGACTGAACCGAATCATTTAAACGGTTGATTCATTCAGAAACGAAACACTGTCATGTTGCTCAGAGATGCAAATTGGTATTATATTTGTTGGCTAAATAGAGCAAAAACAGTCAATATTGTGTCTAAAACGTAAGTATCTTAACATTAAATTCTTGTTTATTGAACTTCTGTATGAAATCAATATCACATTTGTAATTATGCTGCTTTTTGGTGGAAAAAGCATCAGTCTTCGCGTGATACTGATTAACTATATGAAATGATATAAATATATGTATTTCTGCCCCCATATCTTGAATTTTGTGATCATTCTAAATGCATTTTAATAAACTGAATCATGCAGTGAACTGAATCATGTAGCTCTCATGAGTCATGGATGTTAGCAAGACAAATGAACTATAATTGCCTTTTGTCTTTTGGGTAATTAGCTGTAAATTCAAGGAATAGGTAGCTTAATGATTTGTTCATCACCACTCACCTCCACACCAAGACAAACACAGCTGGAAAGGGAGGGAGGGCTTCACTTCTGCGGCTCTCTGCCTGTCTGTGATGTGATGTGCCGATCAATGTGTGTTACACTGCTGTGTTGCGCGGAGGGGCGTCAGAACTCGGCAGTCTCAACATTTCCCGACATTATTAGTTTGACAGGGAAAGCTGTGTGCAAACAGAAAAGCACACACGCACATATAGCTATACATATATTCATTTATCAAAAAAAGAAAAAGAAAAAAAGAAAAAAGGGCACTTTCTCTCGAGGAAGAAAAAGGGCAGGCGCTCAAGCCCCCTTTTATGTCTGTGTGTGCATGTGCCTGCTGGATTTTGAACTGAACGCTGATAACACGCTGGAAGGTCTCCCTCTTTAACCCGGAGGACACGGCGTCCGTGATTTCCAACAAGAATTTCAAATTTGGACTCGTCTGACCATAGAACACTTTTCCACTTTGAAACAGTCCATTTTAAATGAGCCTTGGCCCACAGGACACAACGACGCTTCTGGACCATGTTCACACATGGCTTCCTTTTTGCATGATAGAGCTTTAGTTGGCATCTGCAGATGGCATGGCGGATTGTGTTTACCGACAGTGGTTTCTGGAAGTATTCCTGGGCCCATTTAGTAATGTCAATGACAGAATCGCTCCAGATTCGTCTGAGGGCGAAGACCACGGGCATCCAACAAAGGTCTTCGGCCTTGTCCCTAACGCACAGAAATTTCCAGTTTCTCTGAATCTTTTGATGATGTTATGCACTGTAGATGATGAGATTTGCAAAGTCTTTGTAATTTGACGTTGAGGAACATTGTTTTTAAAGTATTCGACAATCTTTTTACACACTCTTTCACAGATTGGAGAGCCTCTGCCCATCTTTACTTCTGAGAGACTCTGCTAATGGCGCTTTTCCACTGCGTGGTACGACTCGGCTCGGCACGGCTCAGTACAATTTGCATTTGGCAGGGTTTAGTTTGAGCTTGACCTCGCGTGCTCGATTCAGCACTATTTTCAAATTAACGTCATGTTCTGCAACATCACGGCCTCCGATGATGATGTCGTCGACAATGATAGCACAGGGGTCTCCTGAAAACAGCTGTTCCATTGAGCGCTGGAACAGTTCGCTTGCGGAGTTTATGCCAAAAGGAATACGAAGAAATCTATAGCGCCAAGATGGAGTGCTGGATGTAGTCATTATAGAGGACTTGCGGTCAAGACGTATCTGCCAGAAAGAGAGGTTTGCGTCCAGGACAGAAAATACAGTTGCCCCCTACATCTGGGATGCTACTTCCTTTACGCTGCGCATTGGGTTATGGGGTCAACTTTAAGGCAGTGTTGAGATCTTTAATTTATGTAGAGTCTGATTTCTTGTCTGTCCTTTTTATGTCAAAACCATGGACGAAACCTAGTCTGTTGGTTCCGAGACTGGTGTATGGTGTACTAGACTCATGAAGTATGTGATTGGAAGTTCTCCAAGTTCTTCAGTGAACAAATCTTTGTATTCTTTTTGAGGATTTGTTCAGTAATGCTCTCCATACTGTCCAGATGAACATGTGGGCTCATCGTGACAATCCCCATGTCTAAACATGCATGAAATCCTAACAGTGGTTGGACATCTTAATCCACCAAGAAAAATGGGAGTGAGTGACTTTGTCCTTTTAAACTACACAGCAGTGTAACTAAACCTTTTGTTTCAATTCTACCCCCACCATAAGCCACAAGGTTAGGCGTGCTTTCTTGCTTCACTGGTTGTACATTGTTGGCAATTCGCTTGAATGTTGTTTGCGACATTACGTTACACTTTGCCCCAGTGTCGACTTTCACCTTAATTGGAGTTTTGTTTATGTGCAAAGTGACAAATCCCTCTTCCTTCTCAGCCATGAAAGAGTTAACAGTGTCAACACACCTATCAAATTCAATGCCATCAACATAGAAAGTGTCATCATATACAGGGGGCTTGTCTATTTCAAGTTCATGTACCGTCTTTTTGTAGTTTGCTTTCTTTGGTCCAAACTGACAAAGCAATCTGCAACATCTTTTGAAATGATTCATTTTCTTGCAGTTGTGGCACAGCTGTCCAAAAGTCGGGCATTTTTCTTTCTTTGCCACATGATTGTTTCGACAGTTTTTGCAATTCGTTATGGTGGGTGAATCATTCTGTTCTGTTTTGGGCTTTTGTCTTGTGTACTGGTGGAAATTGGATGTACTGCATCCACGTAAGTGGGCGTCTGTGGCATCGCCAATGTTTTATTATTTTAACAGTGCTTAACAGTGCTTTCCTTAAGCTTTCACTGCTGATGCCGCATACTCTCCTGTCACAGATTAGCTCGTCTGTCAATTCTCCGAAATGGCATGCTTTTGCTTTAATCCTGAGATCACTGATAACTCAATAGTCTCACCTTGTTCCAGTTTCTGGAGTGAAACTTGTGTCTTTCCATGGTTTTGTTTTGTTGTGGGTTGCAAATTTGGCAGCGCCATTCTCACCCGGTGCGTAGACGAACAAACGCTCTCGTTCTATGGCCTCCGGCCCTGCGAGATTGAGGAGGATATAGGCCCTTGTTTTGGCAGGCTTATCGTGGTGTGCCGCCGCGATGAAAATGTCATACTCCTGCTCGAAGATTCGCCAGTTGTCGATTCCCTTCAAATTGAAAAAACAACAACAACAACAACAGCAACAAAAACAGATGTTATTTACTAAGGCCCAAGCCTTAATGATCACTATTGTTAATTATGTTTTGGAGGGACTGGAATCATCTCAATGTCTAATTTGAGTAAAAAAAAAAAAAAAACTTTTCTGATTCAATCCCTAAAGAACACTGTAAATAACTACAATAAATCTAAATGCACCTTTCCGTCCCAGCCGAGCGGCAGGTTTTTGGGGTTGTATATGATCTCATTATGTTCGTCTTCACTCTCACTCTCACTGGGCTGCTCTTCATCCTCCTCGTCACGCTCCTCTCTTGTGCTCGCCTGCTTCCTCTGGACGTTCTCATGGGTCAGCTGCCTTTGCTCCTGCAGCACACAACGAAACACACCAGCTTCAGCAACATCACTGCAGACAATTCACACCAACGGCACCAAACCAAAACCACTCGTTAGAGAAAACACTAAAATACATACTCATGGGGATTTACTTAAAAATAACAAAAAGTAAACTAGATCTGAGAACACAATGCATGAGATACAATTTCCCACAATTCAATGTGCTTGAATTTTCTGTTTCGAATGGAACAAATAAACATAATGTATTTATATATCAAATAGACAACAATAATCAGATGTTATCATGATAATTTACAATAATTATGTAATGCTTGTGAACAAGGCAGAATTTACTAAAATATACAATAATAATAATAATAATAATAATAATAAGTTTCCACGTGAAACAAACGGTTTCAAGGAATCATATCAGGGATATCACATTTTCTCTTGCTCATTGTGACAGAAGCATGGTACTATGATGGCATGTGTCTAATGGTAAGACTATATTTAATTGTGCATCATAAGCCTTGTTTTAACATCTGCTAAATGTCTCCATGTAAATTTAAATGTATCTTTTGAAGGTAAACAATGGTATTGTCAAAATAAGAAACACGGAGTTCCCTCCTCAAAAAGAGCATCAGTGTTTTGTGAGCTCAAAACGACCGAATCGTTAACAGTCGTAACAACTACATATTGCAGTAATAAAGATATACTCATAAATACAGGCTGAGAGAAAGGAAATGGTCAAGACAACTACATTATAAATAGTTTGGTGCAATAACCCTTGAGTAATATTATAAGCAGACTGACATCATAAACAAACATGTCTAAACTTACAAAACAGAAATAAATGGAAATATACTGGAAAATATAATGCAATATATTAATACATTCCCATATATAGGAAACTGGTGCTTATGTTTTTCAATATACTGCAATATATTAATGGACCATATATGGCTGTATATTGATACATATAAAAATACATATGTAGCAATGAAGAAAATTTAACTACATTTTTACATGTAATAGCTTTAATGAAACTCAATTAATTTCTCAAGAATTAAAGAGTTAATGCTTGATTTTACATAAAGCTGAACACATATTATCTCACTTTATTGTTTGCATAGATCCACATTTGGTATATAAAATATGTATGATGGTATATAAGAAAAATACATGAAAGATTTACTGAAACAAATATGATAAGTTTAAATTCATTGTTAAAGTCATGGCAACATGGTGGGTGAAAAATGGGATTTGGCATTTATAACGTAATCAATTGTGTGCTTTATGTACTATGAATACAAATACATGGACATGTATGACAATATATATTTTATTATATGATAATAATTGTACATACATGTTCCCAAATGTGAATATATATGGTACATGTATGTTCAAATATATCTGCACACACACAGTACCATATTTTATTACATGTACATGTATATTTCATGAATGATGATATTGAATATAAAATTGCATACATTACTATATATAAGTAAACATTGTCACATATTTTTCAATATATGAAAAGCAGCAAATTATTATGTATTACTCTATTGGAATATATTAACACAATATATTATTCAGTACATTTTCTATATACAACAAATAATTTAATATATTGTTTGTTAATATATGAGAAAATATTTTCTTTGCGTAAGGGTAAAATGTTCTGTTTAATGCAGTTTACAGTAGACTGTCACACCAACGATCTACTGTGAATAAAAGTGTCACTAATACAAATAACTTAGCACTATCTTTAACCACAGATTACGCAGTATCTTCAGCATATATCATCTCTGAATGTGTTTAAAGATGAAAAATGTTGAAGATACTGCATACAAACGGAGGAACTCGAAAGGATGGTCAGATGTTCAGCTGGCATCTGGGCTTTGTTGTTTCCACCAATAAAGTCTGATTTTGGCATCTGGAGCTCTGTGATTAAAATAATTTGTGCAAAGAAGAGAAGACTTTTCTCCACAACAGGATCAGTTCTCTGAAAGATGACTGCTCTCAGTCTCCTGGAAGCTATCAATGACAGTATTAACTGCTTCGCTGAATTAGCCAAGAGGTGAAATAGTGGCGACCAAAAGAAAGGCTTTGCCCTTTCCTTGATTCCTGTGAGCCACAAATGCCTCTCTGTAACAACCAGGACAGCCATCCAATGACAGCCATCCAATGGCCTCTTCAACCCTGACATCGCCCCATAACCTGCTCATGCAGAATCACAATCATCTAATAACTGGACATAGCTGGGTTATGGGCACGAGCCAAATAAGGGTTCACTTCAAGTGTTTCTCTTCACTGCAGTATCCAGCTGTATCATGAGTGCATCATGTGATCTTCTCTCCCATTGAGAGTTACTACATGACGGCTCTGTGCATTAGAGCATGAGTTGAACTTTACTCGCCTTTGTCACATCGCTCAAGATTTCTACTATAACTGTACATGCATCAGAGTTATTGTTTTTGCTTCAAATTGCACTCAGTTTGAATGTCCATTTCTTCACATTAATTCTTGGTTGCAGAATAATGATGACAATAAACATATATGCCCTCCTTCATATGTGAGGACTTCATGGAAAGTAAATTTAATTAACGATCTTAAAACTCTGAGAAACACTGTGAAGAATAATTTTTTTAATCAAACAGCCAAAATTTGACATGATTTTGTGATATACTGTATTTGTTTAATATGTGAGGTTTGCTGTTTTTAATTTCTCCTCCAGAAACACTTGAAGGAGACACAGAGTGAAATCCAGCAGAGAATCCAGCAGAGACAGAAAGATCTTGAGCAGCTGAGAGAGGCTGTGGAGTCTCATAAGGTGAGTTTGGAGAAGAAGAGAAGTTTGAGACTCAGTTTGACTCTCCTCTTTCAGTTTCACTGAAGCCGCTGTGAGGAAGCAGTAAGAGCTGATTGTGATGTGTGTCTAACAGCGCTCTGCACAGACAGCAGTGGAGGACAGTGAGAGGATCTTTACTGAGCTCATCCGCTCCATTGAGAGAAGCCGCTCTGAGGTGACACAGCGGATCAGAGATCAGGAAAAGACTGCAGTGAGTCGAGCTGAAGGACAAATGGAGCGACTGGAGCAGGAGATTGAAGATCTGAAGAAGAGAAACTCTGAGCTGGAGCAGCTTTCACACACAGACGATCACATACATTTCCTGCAGGTAACAGAGATCTAATAAAACCCACAGTGGACTTTAACAAGATCTGCTGTTAAAGGTACTTATTGAGTCTCTAATTATCATTGATTATTTGAGCCACACAATTTGATTGAGAGTACAAGTGATTCTACTGACAGAAATGTTGTCTGTTGTGGTCTTTACCGTAAAAAAAAAAAAAAAAAGGTTTCACTCAGGACTGCAGTAATGAGTTGACAATGAAATATGCTAATAATAGAGACTATTATCCATTATAATATAACTTTTTTTTTTTGGCCAAATTATTAATCATTAATATCATGGTCCTAATTATGTTTAAATGTATCCTCTTTAATGACACATCATGACAGAGTAAATATTTATTTTATAATATTTCATCATTTATTTTGTTTTAAATGGGTAGCTAAACATGTTTCATTAGTGAACAATTACTTGATAATCACCAGTTTTTTTATTATTATTATTATTATTATTATTATTTTATTGTTTGCTTGAACTTCAAAAGAGACTATGGAAACTATTATTAAATATGTGTGTATATGTATGTAGTATACAGTATCTTTGCATTTACAGTTAAGTTCTTCTTATTTATGATTTGTTTCTGGTTTATTATTTGTGTTGCTGCAGAGTCTTCAGTCTCTCTCAGCTCCTCCTGAATCTACAGATAACATCTCTGTCAGTTTCCTCATTTCTTTTGATGGTGTGAGAGAATCTGTCTGTCAGCTGAGACACAAACTGGAGGATTTCTGCAAAGAGGAGGTGAAAAAGATATCTGGTAAAATATTAGAGATTCATCTGCTCTCTGTAATGAGACAAACATCATCTAATATCATAAAGAAAATGTTAGAAATGTCTAAGGAATAGATACAGGTATCATTTTCTCTCTGAGTGTTTATATCTGATATTTTCACAGTCACTCACAGTAACATTGTTCCCAGGACCAGAGAGCACTTCCTACAATGTAAGCCACTAACAAACACAATGACACACATGAACATACTTCATCTAGTAAGTTTATTTCTTATAAGTCGAAAAACATAGCGGAAAACATGATCAGTGTTCACATTCATTATTAATAATGTGCATTGCAGGCAAAGTTATTAAAAATAATCTACTTCAGATGACTGAATTATCTTAACTTGTAATCAGATTCCTTTATATTAATATAACTAATTTGATAAGGTTACTTTTTTTAAATCACTGCAAAACAACATATGAATACAAATTTGACAGTCAATAACTTTAAACATTAATATAATACTTTAATACTTTATCTCATGTATTAATAATGCTGACTGATCAACATAGCAACATTACAGACGAATCCAGTACATTTATGTGAAGGCAACTTCATGTTGATGTGTATCTGTTTTGTACATATAAACTCAGCACAAAAAAAAAGAAACATCCTCACACTTTCAGCTGCTTAATATCTGTTTGAACATAAAAAGTTCAACAACTTCAATAAACAGAGAGTAACATTGTTCCCAGGACCAGAGAGCACTTCCTACAATGTAAGCCACTAACAAACACAATGACACACATGAACATACTTCATCTAGTAAGTTTATTTCTTATCATTCGAAAAACATAGCGGAAAACATGATCAGTGTTCACATTCATTATTAATAATGTGCATTGCAGGCAAAGTTATTAAAAATAATCTACTTCAGATGACTGAATTATCTTAACTTGTAATGAGATTCCTTTATATTAATATAACTAATTTGATAAGGTTACTTTTTTTAAATCACTGCAAAACAACATATGAATACAAATTTGACAGTCAATAACTTTAAACATTAATATAATACTTTAATACTTTATCTCATGTATTAATAATGCTGACTG